CTTTGATTGTGTGGATCACAACCAATTGTGGCAAGTTCTTAAAGAGATGGGAGTACCAGACCATCTTATTTGTCTCTTGAGAAACCTTTATGTGGGTCAAGAAGCAACAGTGAGAACTGGACACGGAACCACTGATCGGTTCAAAATTGAGAAAGGAGTTTGGCAAGACTGTATACTGTCGCCCTGTCTATTTAACTTATATGCAGAGCACATCATGAGAAAGACGAGGCTAGATGAATCACCAGTCAGATTTAAGATTGCTGGGAGAAATATCAACAGCTTCAGATATGCAGATGTTACCACTCTAATGGCAGAAAGTGAAGAGGAACTAAAGAGCCTCTTGATGCAGGTAAAGGAGGTGAGCACAAAAGTTGGCTTGAAATTCAGCATTAAGAAAACTAAGATCATGACATCCAGTTCTATCACTCCCTGACAAATAGATGGGGAAGAAATGGCGGTACTGACAGATTTTATTTTCCCGGGCTCCAAGATCACCATGGATGGGGACTGCAGCCAAGAAATTAACAGACACTTGCTCCTGGGGAGGAAAACTATGGCAAATCTAGACAGCATCCTAAAAAGCAGAGACATCACCCTGCCAACAAAAGTGCGTATAGTCAAGGCTATGGTTTCCCCAGTTGCAAAGTATGGCTGTGAAAGTTGGACTACAAGGAAGACTGAACGCCGAAGAATTGAGGCCTTTGAATTGTGGTGCTGGAGGAGACTCCTGCGAGTCCCCTGGACCGCAAGGCGATCAAACCGGTCAGTCCTAGAGGAGATCAGCCCTGACTGCTCTTTAGAAGTCTGGATACTGAAGATGAAACTCAAATAGTTTGGCCACCTAATGAGAAGGAAGGATCCCTGGAGAAGAGCCTAATGCTGGGAACAATAGATGGCAAAAGAAGAAGGGGACGGCAGAGGATGAGGTGTCTAGATAGATTCACTGAAGCAGTTGGTGTGAGAAGTGGACTCTGGGAGATGGCAGAGGAAAAGAAGGCCTGGAGGAATGTTGTCCATGGGGTTGCGATGGGTTGGACACGACTTCACACCTAACAACAACAATGTTCAGAGAGGTAGTTGTATTTGTCTGGTCTACAGTAAATCAATTAGTTTTGTAGCACCGTAAAGATGAACAAATTACTTATGGAATACGTAGTTATGGAGGTCAAGGTGAGACTGATGGTTGGCAGCATGAAATAGATAAGTCTGGCAGCTTTAGTTATTGCTTTGTTTTGAAATTCTTTCTTGCTGAAAGATTATCAACTGGAAAGACAACATGCCAGTTTTGGCTTGCATTTATTGGACATAATTAGTGTGGTAAATAACTTGTAAATATAGCACATTTATGAGGTACTGTCTACTTTTGAGTGTACATTTTTGCACTCAAATTACTGCAAATTGTTACAAGATGATTGTATTTGGTTTTGTTTCTCAGAACTAGCTATACAGATCTCTTTTTCCCAGTATGTGATGGAAATACCTAAATAATAATCTAACTTCTGTTGGAAAGGTTGGATAAATATTAAATCTGGCTTAAATCTAGCTTAATTACTAATGTAGGTAATTAAGATTCTAGACTAATCCAGATTCTTTATCATATTTTTGGAGGTGCAGAAATGTTATATTTTATTTTGAAATTTTTATCCTAAAGTTCTCCAAGGTTCATGAAGACAGTGGTATAACAGCTGAATCTCTTTAGAAGAGATACTACATGCATATTGTCTAAAATATTATTTAGAAAATGATTTTGCTTTGGTTTTGAATAAGGTAGTGGAGTTCCTAACAGAGAGGCCCATGAGAGATGCAGTGTTTTTTTTATCTCTCTTAGATTCCCAGACTAGTGGAAAGCTTGATGGGTCATCAGTGTTCTCAGGTGGCAGCCGCTACAGATCATACACTTGTGTTAACAGAAGATGGATGTGTGTACACCTTTGGTGTCAATACTTTTCACCAGCTGGGTGTTCTTCCTCCCGTGCCTAACTGCAATGTCCCCAGACAGGTAAAATAATCCTTTTAGTAATTGGGTAGTTTTTGTTTGCCTTTACATTAGAGTGTGTGTTCATGTACATGAGCATACTCCCAAGTGTACACACACTTTTGCATGCCAGTTGCTGTGCAGGAGTTCATCTGTGGCACTTGATGGAAAATGCTTAAGGTGGCATTGGTTCATTCAGTGCTGGAGAACTGCATGACTGTAACTTCTCCAGCCTCATTCATAACTGTGTTTGTAACATAATACAAAAGGAGTGTACATTTTTAGAAGAGTTGATTAGATTGTCCCCTTGCAGTGGTTTAGTCCTTCAATTCTGTTGGATTGTGGTAATGAATCTGGGTAGTAAATCTTTTCCGAAACAGAACTGGAACTTTCAGGAGAGGGAGAGCAAGAGAGAGACTTCAGAAAATGAGCAGAACACAGTCTTAATACCTGAGAAATATTGTTTGGGAATGAATGGTTATGATTTTGATGTAATTAACTCTCTGAATGATGTAATAATGAGTGAAATGGTTAATAATTGTAATTGGAATAATGTTTTAACAATCCCAAGCTCTTATGACAAGTGTGCTATAAAAATATATATAATTTCGAGGGTGAAAGTGCTGCCTAGTAAGTATAATGTGACTGCAGCTTTCTATTCTAGTTGGTGAACAAGCAGTCTCTGTGGCATTTGAAACTAAAAATACATTGCATTGTTTTACTGGGAAGAGAATTCTAGGGTTGTGGTGTCATCACTGCAATGTTCAATGTCCAGCCGTCTATTTTTTGATGGCTCATTCATAGGAATACATCTTTTCTAAGAATGCTTGTACTTGCTTTGTCACTTTAGAATGCCAGTAGTTTCTGTGTTCCCGAAGATATTGAATAATATTCAATTAACAGTAGATAACAGTAGATAACGCTTGCCTGTCTTTGGGTTTTTCATACAGGTTCAAGCAAAAAATCTTAAAGGAAGAATAGTGATTGGTGTGGCTGCAGGCAGGTTCCATACAGTACTGTGGACCAAAGAAGCAGTATACACAATAGGACTGAATGGAGGACAACTAGGTGAGAGGGAACATTTTAACTCTGGGGTGTTATCTGGAGGAAAAAAGTTTAATGTTGCCATTCTTCTTAGAAAATCTGAAAAAAGCTTTACAATCCAGTTGCTATTTTGCTAAGAAGATGCTGAAGCTCAAAAATATCTTGGAGGTGCTTTTAAAGGTTCAGGCTGGAAAAGGATTGGACAGGTTTCTTTCCCCCCTCAAGATGACAGCCTTGCGAATAGTTACCATGGTCACTACTCAAATTCTGCTAAAAATGTATGCACGCCGAGAGGGTGGGTGGTACAAAATGAAATAGATAAAACTATTTTAAAACAGAAATCACACAAGTGGAATAGTTCCCACCTCATGTTCCATGCCCACTATAGAAATCTGGATGAGTACAGGGTTCTCTAATCAAGTAAAATATTCTAAATGGACTTTGGCATTTGAACCTAAGATGTTTATAGTCAATTGGCCCAAACTGGCAGGGTCCCATGAAATAACATCTGTCCTAAGGAGGCTGGATAATGAAGGCTGATAAGGCTATATAATCTTGAGAAAGTCCATTTAGGCATAACTTCTGAGAAATGTTTTCCAGATGAAAGTACCATACTTACATGTATCTAACATACAAGTCAAAAATAATTTTATTTCTAAATGCTTTAAACTGTATTTAATTCTCCCTCTAAAATTCTCCCTCTAAATTCTCCCTGGGTTTGGTTGAGGGGCTAAGCAGGGTATTATCTGATCATTATTATTTTGCTGATCTTTCTGCTGTACAATCCCAGAAATCCACAGAATTTTCCAGTTTCCATTTTAGTGTATACTTTTCCTGCCAAAATGCATATCATTTGTAGCAGACCTCAGAGCTACCGACTGGGGATAAAATAGGTGGGCCAATGGTCTAATTCAGTACTAGGTTTCTAAAACCTACAGAGAGGAGAATATCTGGGTGGGTGGGTAGGTGGGCAACACTTACTTTTTCCTTTCCTTTCAAATGCCTGATAATGGCTCTGAGAAACTTGACATTTAGGGTATTCTTTTATGCTGTAGGATACTTGCTAGATCCTAATGGAGAGAAGTGTGTAACTTCGCCTCGCCAAGTCTCTGCTTTACATCACAAGGACATTACTATATCTTTTGTCACTGCAAGTGATGGTGCCACAGTTTGTGTTACTGATCGAGGAGATATCTATTTGCTCACCGACTATCAGTGCAAGAAGATTGCTTCCAAGTGGGTGCTTTTCTCCAGAGAAATACAGAATCTTGCCTTTGCTGGTTTGTTTAACTGTAGCAAATGAATGGAAAGGCACTGTTGTTCAGTACAGTAATTCCTTGTTTGGAGCATGCTTATGTTGCTGACATCTGGTCCTAGACCATCTAAGATGTGATGCTGAAGGCCACAAGTGGAAGGGCTAATACTGCTTGTTTCCTGTGCAGTCACAAATGGCTTTGCTAAACTTGTGCTGTTAATTGCACGAAACAGACTTCTGCATTCATAACCAGTTTGGATACAGTTTGACTTCTCTTGTAACATAACAAAAATACCATTAAGCACAAGTCAAGGTTTGCAAGTAAAACAACCTAGCTTCATTAGTTTGGTGAAATAAATAATTTCTTATCATTTCTTAAATAATTTATCAAAGGTACTGGTATTGTTCTGTTCAGCGAAAACAGTAAAGAGCCTTGTAGCACCATAAAAGAATATAGCCCACTTCATCATACTGATTAAGTCATATAATTTTTGTTTTCATTTTTAAGGACCTACAAGACTCTATTATTCTAAAAACAATTGATTGTTTTACAATTCCTAAATAGTTCTCACAGAATGCTTTCTAGTTTGTTGGAAATTGGAACTATACTATTTCATCAACATAATAGTCCTTTTGAGTGCCCAAAGTGTTTCTCATATATCACTTCAGTAAGCATTACTGCTCTTTCAGTAAGGTGGGTCACTGTGATTTTACTATTCTTATTTTTACTCTCATTCCCATATTGCAGGTAGGAGGTTGAGGGGATTGTAGCTTGCCTAAGACCACCTACTGAGTTCATGGTAATGGTGAAATTTGAACTCTGGTCCCCATAGTCAGTGTTTCACCCACCAGCTCTCACTAGTGTAGCTTGGATTGGGGTTTTCATTTTAGCACTGAACTATTAATTTAGTCTGCTTTCTAGGTCTGATTGTCAGGGATATAGAAATTTTGAATGCTATCCTTCATGTTTTGCTTTGCTGCTATTTAGCGTTATACTTAGATATATTACAGTTATACCAAAACTGCTTAAAATAAAAAAAACCAATGATATGGTTAATATGCACCATAGTTAATATGAATCATGAGTCAAAAACTTGCTTGTTTGAATAGAGCAAGATGTCAAATTTTTACTTATATCAGTGTAAAAGCTTATGCTTTTCTCTTTGCTTATTATATGCAGCTGTGCTGGATTAGGTTAAGGTTCAGGTTCTTTCATCTGTACTATGAAAATCGCTATGTAGACAATTAACAAAATAACATGTAAATCTAGGGTTATTTTCCTTAATATATTAGATTCTTTATACTTTTGGATTGTGCATCAATCAGAATGGCTTTTTTATGTTTTCATTGTTCAGGCAACTTAACCTAAAAAAGGTTCTTGTTAGCGGAGGCTTCTTAGAGTACAAAGTGGATCCTCAACATCTTAAAGAAAATGGAGGCCAGAAGATTTGTATTCTTGCACTGGATCAAGCTGGAAGAGTAAGTTGACTGATACTGTGTGCTCCACCTTTTTAAAGGACGGGTGGTGATGGGACACTGCTGTGATGCATAAGAATATTATCCAATTCATCAGGACACCCCTTTGGATAGAATAGGATATGAGAGCCTAGACCTGACATTGAGGCAGTGATACAGATTAGGGATGTGCAGGGTGGTGGCCATGCACCACCACCAACAGCCTGCTGCTGGAGTTGGTCAAGGTGGTCTTGAGCATAATATTGGAGAACCCCAGAGTGTTGGCCTTGAGAAATGTCAATATTCATTCTGAGGCAACCTTGGCTGGGCCTGCTCGGGACTTCATGGCCCTTGTGACAACCATGGGGCTGTCTCACTCTTAATTGGCCAATGTATAGGTCAGGACATACTCTTGGTTTAGCCTTTGTTTCTTGATGTAGGCCGTGTGGTCTGGTAATTGGGGATTGAAGTAGACCCATTGGTTGGACCACTGTTTGGTGAATTTGGGATTATAGCATCACCCTCTCCCTGTGGAGAACACACATTAAGCACACATTAAGATGGTCCTGCCCTGGTGTCCTATGGAATCTGATGGATTCCTGAATGTCCTGGAGAAATTTCTGGTATCCAGGGCTAGCAATCCTGTTGGTTTGCCTGCCGAACTATGAAATGTTGAAACATGGTTGCTCACAAGTTCCCTTTCTGTAGCTGTGGACTCCTCGCGTTCACTGAATCTCTGGTGAGTTCCAAGTGATGAAACTGACAGGGAGGTGGCTACAGCAGAAGTCTCACTGTAAGGCTGGCCAGACATGTGTGGAAGCACATAATGAAGACTACTGCATAGGGATGAGGGCAGCGGAAAAGGTCTACTTTGCTGCCTCTATTGCATCCCAAACATCAGTCCAGCCGAGCTTTCTGGATGGTTTGGGGTTACTTGCCCTTTTCCCTAGTAAATTTTATTTTGGAGCCCTTGGAGGCCAGCTGTATTGATTTTGTGAGGTTGTTTGAGTATTTAATTTCTTGCCTTTATGCTGCTTGTAGCATGGTATCTAGTGAGGTGTCTAATACTCCATCTGGTTCAGTGATTTGGGATCATTTTCAGTGCTCCAAGGATGTAGGCAAGATCCTTGCAGCTGTTTGGCCTATGACATACCTTCCCAATCCTTGCCTGTCTGTAGTTGTTGGTTGGGTGGGTCCAGGCAGTGGTGAATGCATCATCATTTGAAGGAGCAAGATGCCTGAAAGGCGGTACAGTTCCTTCTTGGGGAGGTTATGCATTATTCAATCCATCTTCTTGCAGAGTAGAGACAGAGATTAATATAACATGGTTCACATAGCATGAGAAGCCACGGTATAATCTTATTGTGGTGTCAGCCAGATCCAGTTCCTGATTTCCTGTGCGGTAGGAATAGTTTTCTGAAACCACAAAAGGAATTGACAGTCTATTCTAAGATGTCCATGTTTCACCATGGCTTCTGCAGTTATCTGGAATTGGGATTGTCATTTTACCTTTGTTGGTATTGCAACATCATATAGTATCCTGGCATTAGTAGCTATGGAAATGACCATTTCACACCTTCAATCTCCACTGCCCTTAGCTCCGTACGTCATTGCTTGTTTTATTCCCATTGGCTGACCAATGTGTCCCATCTCCCTCTTCAGGTTTGGAAATAGGGATGATATGAAAATTGCAGCAGAATTGTTTACTTGCATCTAATAAAATTGCAGTAGGGGCTGGGAAGCACCACAGAAAGACAGGTACACTTGGGAGAGGGGACGCACCTCAGGAGCACAGTCGGGAGGATCCTGCTGTGGCCCTAGGCAAAAATAGGAAAAAGGTGGGAATTTCTTTCAAGGGGGACTGCCACAATATGTGTCCATGCTGGAAGGACAGAGCAGGCAGTGGGCCAACGGTGCTGCCCAGAGAACCATGTGGTCATCTGACCAGTAAGTTTGGGCAAAAATCCATGCACTGTGGGGACTGAGTAGGGCTGTTTGTGACTCCAAAGGCTGCAGTCATTATGATAGGAGGGCAAGGTGATATCAGTTGCTGACAACACCCAGTACTATTCCTCAGTAACACCTGACTCAGGAGAGGCTGTGCATGTTCTGAACTGGCACCTGGATGCAGTGATGGCTTGGATGAGGGCCAACAAAATGAAATTGAATCCTAACAAGATAGTCAGTCAGTCAGTCTCTCTCTCTCTCTCTCTCTCTCTCTCTCTCTCTCTCTCTCTCTCTCTCTGTGGGGGGAGGGCACAGGAATGAGTGAGTTTGCCTGTTCTAGACAGTGTCATGAGCTGGTCCATTCCCTCTTTGAAAACTCAAAACAGTCCTTTGAAAGTGCTCTTCTTTCGAGACTCCATGGATAACAGAACAGTTAGAGCTCTAAATAGCTTTGTACCAAATCAGAAAGAGAAGCCTCTGCTCAGGTAAAGGGTTGAATCCAAATTGGAAACTTCCTGTAGCCCCTCCCTTTCAGTAGAGCTTCTGACTTCACCTTCAGGATGTCTGTCACTGCTGGAGAGCAAGATGAGGTGAACAGTGAAGCCTCTCTAAAGGAGCAACTCATTTCTTCTGACATCTTCTGACTAGGTCAAGAACTAGGTCTTGCATCTGTTCTTCTCTCCTCCTGAAAACCCTCCCCTTCCAAAACAGGCTGATTCTCATGCTTGGCCTGAGAAACTTTTCTAGGTACAGTTGAAGGTGCATCAGAGGCTCCTCTTCCTTTTCAGAATGTGACAATGCAGTGTGCGAGAGACAGGGTTGCACTCCCTCAGAAAGGATAGGTACATTATAGGGCTGCTCCTGGTTTCATCATTGTCCGAAGTGGCATCAGTTAAAGATGCAGTTCTTTACAGAGACCTGCCCTGAGTGTGTTGCCTAGTCAGTTTGTTTGTAATTATGTGTCGTAGTGGTTTTATATTGATTGGAATGTTTTATTATTTATATAAATGTTTTAGCATTATGTATTCTAATTGTAATTTAATTCAGATATATTTAAATGTTTTTAATTTTGTAAACTACTTAGAGATATTTTTAAGAACATACAGCAAAATATACATTTATTTATAAATAAATACATATTTTACTGGTGTGCTGTAGCATACTTATGGCATCAGCTACTAAATGCAGATACAGCATGTTTGCAGTAGTGATACCTAAGCTCTCTTCTGACTATTCACACTAATGTTCTTAACAAGAATGTGACATGTAATAAAAGAAAACAATGGGTGAACATCTGTTTTCATATAGCTTTATGGTTGGTGGGAATGAAGCTTCTGAAATGATCATTCAAACATTTCTGAAAGAAGTGAGAGCGAGAAGAGAATTAGTTGGCTTTTAAAAATATTGATGCCTTTAAACAGCTACAGTGATTTGATTGTCATAAAGTAATTAGGAGCTTATGTGTGTTTTTCTCTGCAGTAAAAGTGTTCAGATTAAATTGCATTTGTTAAAATATGTGGCTGATGTCCTGTGGAAGCAAGCTTATGTCTCTTAACCAAAAGACTACTGTCAATCTGCTGTGAGGCAGTTTATCATTTAACCAAAAAGATAACCATTGCAGTTTTATAGATAGAATGTAGGACTGGGACTCAGGAATTTTTGGTTCTAGTGACCACTCAGCCATGAAACTCACTTGGTGGCTTTGGGTCAGTTGCCAACACTCAGCTAACTTACCTCACAGGGTTCTTGTAAGGATTGGTGAGGTATTGATGGAATTGATGAGAACATTGTAAAATGCTTTCAGTTTCTTGCAAGATGAAACAAACAGTAAATAAATGTAATTAAAAAAACTCTAAAGCTTTTGAGGTAAAAAGATAACTCTAGCTTAAAATTGTGTATATTGAATAAATTGTACATGAAGAACAAGCTCCCAAATGGTTTGAAATAACAATAGAAGCTAGCAACTTGTCAGTGCAGTAATCTTGAATATGCACTTGAATATGAATAAGGCACTTGAATGTATAAAAGAGCAATCCTAGGGGCTATAGCCTAACCCTAACCCCTAGACAGCCTCTGAGGGGCTGTAGGATATTTAGACTCCCAGACCTGAGGTCAGAGACAGAGCTCTGACGGCACAGCTGAGAACTGGACCTTCACTTCCTTTGCCCTTGCAGCTGGCTGGTGAGGTCAGGAAAGTAACCACATAGAGGGGTCAAAGGAGGGTGTTTTGGTTTAGGGTATGGATATTCCCAACTGGATATAATATAAACTGGATATTCCTAGATATGTTCTCTAGCCTTCTTTCCCTCTTGGGCTAGCAAAAAAAAAAAAAAAAAAAATCAGGAGGGCTGAAGTTGACGAGGTGAACTTCAGCTCCATCTCTCCTTCTGCTCTGCTCTGCCTGTAAGCCTCTGAGTTAGCGGGCTTATGATTGTGCCCCAAGCCTCTCTTATGCACTCCCCTTGTCCCCTGCATTTTGTTCATGTTTTAGGTGTTTTGCTGGAAATCTGCCAACAGTCCCATGAAGCAGTGCCGATGGGTCTATGGCCGCCAAGTCTACATGACTGATATTTCGTTAAATAGGAGCGAAATGATGTTTGTTACACAAGATGGTGAAGCTTTCAAAGGGAAGTGGATGGATGGAAATAAACTTGCGGAAAAGAAAGGTCAGTTATCTTGACTTCTGTGTTAATTTTAGCAAAGTTGAACTATTTGGGAGAGCATGCTGTCAGGAAGATCTTTGCCAATCTGTGTAAATTTGAGTATACCAGTTATGTCTACCTCCTGAACGAAGGGGAAAAAACACTGCTTATTTCTACTTTTGGGACAACACTACCGAAGCCAATCTAATAAATTGTCTTGACTTTAAATTACTTATTCCTATGTAATTTAAGTGCCTTACTGGTCCTACATGCATGAAATGGTGACAAATGGTGGGCTAATTAACCCATGACTTACCAAGTTGCCCACTATGAGTGCCACAGCTGCTGTATACTAAGCAATGTGTTGTAATGTGATGTGTGAACCTGGACACTGGATTTTTTTATCAGTTAAATAACCCAAAGTTAACCAGTTATTCATAGGTTAACTTGTTTAATCCATAAATAATTCATAGACCTGGTTCACACAGAATGGCAACATAGAATATGGATTGACTTTGGTTTGTTCTTGAATCATAGCTTGTCCCATGTAAACCTGGCAATATAGTTTAACTATAGGTTGATAACAATGAACAACCCAACATTCAGAGCCCAAAAGGAAATGAGGAGTTCTTTCCTGGTTTAACTATGGATTGTTCACTGTGAACATGAAGTGACAACATTTGATTCTACTCATCCTCCACTGATAGGAGTATACGAGGTTGCAGGTTTAGGTTGGAGTGAAGGGGAAAACCTGAGTGGTACTGTTGGAATGATGCTTTATTGCCAGCTGTGAACCTTTGTGTAGTCAGAGAAACTAAGGTTCAGGATTAGTTGTGCATCTAGCTGCATACAACAAAGAAAATCTGAGTAGCTTAGTTCCACTCTTTTTTACATGTAATCTGAGAGGATTCATTTTAGCTTGCTGAGGTATATTTATTGTACTTATAAATCACCTCTCCACTTAAAGTGCCAAGATGAAATACAGTAAAAACATGGTGATTGAAAAATTACACTTGCAGTAGCTGCCTTCTTTGTCCATCACAGGCTAATTGATGGTTGAAATATATGCTCTAGCCTGCTCTTTTCATGTTACTCTCATTAATTGGGTTATTCACTGGGGCATGGTATTTATTCAGCAGCCTTGGTTGTGTCAATGGGCTAAAGTATTTTGTTCCTATGGTGCAGTTGTGTGTTCAGTCGATTTTGGAAGAATTTGAATGGATTTCACTCCCTTTTATAAAGCAAAACTCATTTTTTCCCCCAGTATATCTATATTTCTCAGCAATGTGTAGAAACCTCTGTTTTGTTCATGGCCCTACTGGGTGGTTCTGGACCGTAAATTTGCTCTTAGAAAAAGAGACTGTGCAATGTAGCAGAATAAAATTGACTGGCTGGTGCCATCTAGTGTACTGAACTCGTATGTAAACTTGCAGAAAAATGTTGGGAAAAGGATACATATTTGTTATTAAAAGGATGTTCTTATTGATGACCTACACTACTTTAATGGGCCTTCTTTTGCTTATAGAATTAGAAGAAAAAGATCCAGGAATTAAGGCTTAAGCTATAAGACAGTTGTCTGACATCCTGA